AGAAAGAAAGAGGATTACAAATAAAATAATAACAACATATCAAAATAAATAGATAAATAAACTAATCAAATCCTGATCCAAGCCTATTTTCAATAATTTTTTTATACAGCTAATTATCTAATTGCAGTGTAGAAAAAAGTAAAACTTTCTCCAGTAAAGGCTTTCAGCTTTTATTCCCTTCAGACACTGGAATTGACTTTTATACAAATAATCGCCATTTACAGTTAAATCATCTTGCATAAGACAACACTGGTTGTATTACATACTATGGTTCCCTTGTGACAGCCCAGCCTCATCTTCGTTCAATCTTCCAAAAGAGCAAGACGTGTAAATTTGTAGCCCTAAGAACTTAAAAAATAGCAACCGTACTGTTTCCTCAGACAGTCTCATAGCTGTCCTTGCACCCACCTGGTCTGGAGAGAGTGAGGAGTCACCGCCAGCATTACGCTCCTGGTTCTGCGCAGAACGTTCACTCTTGCAGGCATTGTGGTAATCTGCTTTGTGTTTGTTCACCTTCTCCAGAATTTTGGCCCATGGCTTCTGAGCTTTCTTGAACATGTCCTCAATGTCTTTCTTTTCTTTCAGCTGGCCCATCATGGACTGAAAAGCAGAAAAGAATACCAAGGTGAGTTGGGAAGTGGAAGATGATAATTTTTTTTTTGTACCTAGAAATGATACACCACAATTTACAATACATTAACCTGGCACTGTAAGTTAATCTTCTATAAAAGCATTAAACAGGTCTGCATATCCTCATTCTTCCTTTATTTATTTAATCAGTTTTGCTCAGTCTTCGTAACATGAAAATAGGCTGCGAGCAATGGCATGCAGCTTCTGATATTTTCCAGTTACTTTGATCAGCAAAATATTAAATCAGCAAACTTAGAAAACATGTCAACTGGTGTCAGACAAAACATTTTGATGCCCCTGTTGAATCTTGAACTCCTAAGAGACCAAGATAGCCTTGTTTTTATTCACCTACTTCAATTCCCCAACTTTTTAAAAATCTCCGTAATCGATCCATGACCACAAAGTTCAAGGCTTTTGAGATTTCAAGATATGTACCGCAGAAACTTTTAATAATATTACCTTTTAGCATGTGCAACGTTTCGCACATCTTGGGCATTTGGGCATGTGTGGAGGCATGTGCTTGTGATAGCACACCTCATATTACAAAGACTGAGTTCTGCTTAAAACTGTATCTGAAAAAGGCAACTTTGCTGGCCACAACACTTGCCTCAATGGGACAAGTTCTGACTAACCCAGACACCCTGACTTAAGGCAATGTAAAAGAATCAATGTACAAGTAGCCTTTCTTAACAGGTTGTTAATGGATTCAACAGGGCACATGAATGAACCAAATTATTGCTTACAACCAAGAACGGATAGAATTAATTTTCCCAACTGGCCTGTGAGTTTAATTGATATCATCGAAAAAAGATATTCCATCATGGAATATTTAGTACAGACATTCTGGCTGCTTTCTGACATCATCTGATTTAACCATCTTTTAAGAACTTCTAGATCAATTTAGCCTCTTGGAAAGGCTACTTCATGAAATTGACCTTAAGGAGCATCGCTCTCTCCTTACACTTCTAATGCAAAACATAAGACAGAATTATACACTGTAGTGTGGGTAGTCGCCACCATACATCTTCATCTCTCATGGCAGCAAGCATCCTCGCCCGCATACTGCCCCACAAGGGTAATATGTATCTTGGGTGACACAGCATTTTCCAAATTTTTGTGCTTTTTAGCCTTGATTTTTGTGTTTTCTTGTTTGTTTTAGTTTGCCTGTTTTGGTATATTTTCTTTGGTTCTCATTTAATATTGGTTTACTTACTTTTTACTGTTTACATGCAAATCTATGTTGGCATGCCCAATCTTAATTATCTATCAGTTTCCCTGTTAAATTGAAATCTAAATAAACCATATACAGATTTTGATGATTAGGATGAACACTTATATACATTTCATGTACAACTTTACTGATTCATATCATTTTACGGTTTTATATCTTTCTCCTTTTAACCAAATCATCTAGTTTCTATCACTCTGGGCAAGTTTATAGTTTAGTCATTTCATGAAACTGTATATAGTAAAGTCCTTCCCCCCCAAATGGCTGCAAGAGTAAACAATTCAGCAGAGACATGGTGTTTGTTTTCATCCCCTCCCCCCTTTTCTCAGAGTGAAACTGGCTCTACACTCCAGAAGCTACATACGAGGATAAAGTTGATTCTGAGGCTGCTTTGTCTTGCATATTGGGGATGGATGTAATCATATCTTTATATGATGATTAGTTTAACCCATCAGCGACGGGTAAAAATTTTGTCAAGTTTACGTATGCACCGGCTTGTTGGCGCGCACTGGCAGTTTCCCCTGTTTGCGCCCGGCTCGATCGGTAGTTTGCGAGCAACATATAGCACCTAAAAGCTTTTATTTTGCTAAAATTTATAAAAATATTAAAATTTTGAAGGTTTACCTTCACTTTAGGTGCCATTGCCTAAAATCTTTACCATATAAATGAAGCTGCTACTAGTGGAGAAAAACAACCTCCGTCCGACGAGCCAGTAGTGCAGGAATGGGCATGGCATGATGCCCCCGGCGTTTGGTCCACACAGCCATGGCATATACGTACGTGACACCCGGCGCCAATGGGTTAAGTTTCATGATTTTGTTTGGTTTAAATTCGAACCCTGCAGCTTTTATTTGGCTGTCTCTTTCTCACTTTGTTTTTATTCATTAGTCATAACGTAACTCTTAAAGAGGGTTTTAACTTCAGTTGTTATTACTTTTTTGTAGCGATTTTATGTGCAATGGAACGAGCCACACTACCACTTCATGGGGCTTTTACCCGGGGTTGAATATTTACTTTATCTGTGAAAGGTGTCCCTGGTCACACAGAATATTTTGATACACCACAACACCATGTATGTGAAATCCTGTTTTGCAAATGCGATCTACTCTAGAGACATACTATACCTTAAATCATTCAGTATTTTTAATCTTGTTTTCCTGCCTCTTTACAAAGGCTCTCATTTCATATTTTTTAGTACCTTGGGAAGCCTCCACTTTCATACACTTTTTTCACAACTGAAGGGAATTTGGTACTTCGCTCAACCCTTATCATCGCTATTGTGAATTACTGCTATCAAGCACCTTATACAAGATTTAATGCATTGGTTGTTTTAAATTAGAATAAATATCTTCAGACCACAAGAGACATATCTGCAGTATTTTGATTATATCATCATCAGCTATTTATGTGTCAGCAAGATTACAAATCATAATTATACCAAACATGAGTTCAATATTAATCTGACATTTGTAATCTCTCACAAAATACTTATAACCAAAACCTTTGATAATTTTAAGATGCTCAGTTTGGTGTTCATTTTCATCTTCAATGGGATGTATGTAGCTCTTATTATTTTCTGCCTCTTAAATCCTTTATGGATTATCTTGTTTGCTTCTGGTCAGGAAGTTGTCCAACTTCATGTATATGCACAAACATGATGTTAGTAGTTCTGTGATGGCTAAATGTTTGTAGATGCAGGTGCCAAAACCTGGTCATATTTCACCATAGCAAAATTCATCACACCTGCTGTTACACGTGCACTATATAGTGCTGCTGGGGATATTTCTGGGCTGCTTCTTATCCCATACCAAATCTATCTTTTCACTAAATTTCTTGGTATGATGTTGCCAAAACAGCTATTAGAGATGTTACACTGTGGTAGTAGGAGGAATTTAAGAGGTATAGGGTAGGAGCTTACCCTTGAAAGCAAATAACAAGTACCAGGCTACAGATTACAGGTGAGTCCAGCTCATGTCTGATATATAGTTGTTTTGTAATCCCGCATACATATTTTTTTTATAACAATCTTTTTCATTTTCTTCCAGGGGCTGATCCTTCCATTGTCTATTGAGATAGCAAGATTGAAATGTGACTACCATTCTCCAACGCAGCTTATTGGTATTCTTGGAACTTGGATGATAAACTTATCACTGATTACACCCAGGAACATTGCTTTTCTCATTTATTTACCTCATACCTCCCTGTTTGCATCAGACCCCTCAAATACTTTAATATCACTGGATTTAGAGATCAACTGATGATGAACAATCCTATACTTTACAGTCATTTTCTGTCATTCCCTGGAGTTAGACTTTCACAAAATAGGATAGTGACCTCTTTTTTTTTTTTTTTTTTTTTTTTTTTTTTGTGATGAGTGCTGCCACTTCATACCTTGTGGTAATTGTCCCGCTGCCATTGTTTGACGCTGCTGTGGACATCATTGATGAGGTTTTCTCTCACACGCATGTGCAACTCACACCGTTGTTCTGCCTCCATCAGCACTCCCTTCCAGGCTGCTTCTGTGGTCCCGTACTCTGGCCCTGAAACAAGGTATCCTGTCTAAAAAAGTGCTCGAGGGCCTGTCATTCCATACATAAACAAATAATTAAAGAAAAGAAGAAAAAAGTCTGAGATCACTTCTAGATGTAATATTTTCATAAAGGCAAACATAAAAAATTAATTGTTGGTCACAATGTTGTCTAGTTTGATTAGGTTCTCCCTCTTTGATATTTGACTAATCAATTTGTAATTTTCATGTCTTCTAAGTCACGGAACTAAGACAATATAGAAAAAAAAGGATTAAAATCTTACAAAAGAGCGTAAAGGACCAAGCCCCATACTTATTTCATTCCTTTATCAAGTTAGAATACCGTTTCCAAAATTACAACCAGGGGGAAAAAAAAAAAAAAAAAAAAATAATAATAATAATTTAGCTTAATGAAATATGCAGTTCTCAAAATATAAAAATCTCACAATGTGGCGAACATGAGAAGGATATATTGAGCACAAATGTTTGGACCTTAAAATCTAAAGACTTTCCTTGAGAGGAGAGGAGAGAGAGAGAAAAAATCTTAGAACAAAAAAAGAAAGGAAGTTGAGAGGAGCAATAGGAAGAAGAAAGACACTGTGAATGAGAGAGAGA